CATTATATGAGGGGTAGGCCTGGAACCACATGGAACCCTCATGGGTGAATGAAACAGGACACTTGTCCTCAGATGTACAAAGAAGTCATTGCAATGCAGTATGCGCTTATGGTATAATATATACATATTTCATCTTTGCCTCAATTCCTGGCACAGAGCTCCTAAAACCCTTGGTATCTCCTGAGTGACGAGTGTCTTTGGAATTCAGAAATGGCTTTTCCCGCCATAACTGAGTTCCTGCTAAGGAGGTAACATGGGGCAGGCATGCGGATAGTTTCAAGGGAGGGGTTGACCACCCTTAGAGGGTTGGAATTTTCCACCATCCCTCCTCCCACCCTCCAGGGTGGGGAGAGGGGATGGAGATTGAGTTCATTCACCAGTGGCCAGTGGCTTAATCAACCAAGTGTAGGTAATAAAACTCCTATAAAAACTCTTGACCTATGAGATTTGGAGGGCTTGTGGGTAAGTGAACACACTGAGGTGCTGGGAGGGTGAGTGCCTGGGGAGGACACGGAAGCTGTGTGCCACGTCCCCCACTCCCCTGTGCACCTCTTCATCTGGCTGGTCCTTCGTGTCTTTTATAACAAACTAATCATGAGCACAGTGTTCACCTGAGTTCTGAGTTCTAGCAGATTATCAAACTGAGGCAGAGGTTGTGGAACCCCCTAAGTTTAAGGTCAGCTGGGCAGATGCGTGGGTAGCTTGGGGCCCCAACTTGCAAATGGTGTCTGAAGTGGGGGCAGTCTTATGGGACTGAGCCCTTAACCTGTGGGGTCTGTGCTGACTCTGACAAGTGTCAGAATTGAGGGGTACCTGGGTGGCTCCGTTGATTAAGCCTTCGATTCTCGATTCCGGCTCAGGTTGTGATCTCACAGTTCATGAGTTCGAGCCCCGCATTGGGCTCTGTGCTGACAGTGCGGATTCTCTCTCTCTCTCTCTGCCCCTCCCTTGCTCATGCTCTCTCTCTCTCTCTCTCAACATAAATAAACTTTAAGAAAAACTGAATTGTAGCACACCCAGTTGGTGTCAAAGAATTGAGAATTATTGGAAAAACCAAAGAGTATCCTAAACCAGGACTCTGATATCAGTACTGCCCACCACCACCACCGTTAGACCAGTAGGCTGAACTGTTAAGGCATTCGTTGTAGGTCAAAGATAAATGAAAGCAGCAAATCAACCCAGTGCAATCTCTTCAACATGGAAGGCACAGGGCTCGGTGCTCTCTGTGCGTCCTCTCCTGTACCCCTCAGAATACTCGGGAGATGGGTCCTGCCAGTTTATACACAGGGAGGCTTCTGGAGGCATGGCTGTAGGCCCTGAGGATGTGCGGCCGAGGGCTGCCTCAACACCATTTTGCAAACTGGGTGGCTAAAAGTCTAGTAACTTCCTCTCATGGTTCCAGAGGCTGGAAATCTGGAATCAAGGAGTTGACAGGGTTGATTCCTTTTTGGGGGGCTCTGAGAGACCATCTGCTCCTTGCTTCTTCCTTGAAGGCACCGTGGTGCCCTTTAGCCTGTAGCTGTACCTCTCCAATCTCTGTCCCTCTCTCTTTCCGTGGTGTTCTCCCTGTGTGTCTGTCTCTCTCAGAAGGGTGCCAGTGGCTGGACTTAGGGTCTATACTAATTCAAAATGGCCTCATGAGGATTACACTGCAAAGACCCTGTTTCCAAATATGGTGACATTTACAGGGACTGGGGGGATAGGATGGCAGTGGTCTCTCTTTGAGGAGGAGACCTTTCAGTCCGTAACACTGAGCTCTTAAATGGGAACTCTGCAGTTGCAGGGTGCTGCGTGTGTGTGTCGGGGCCAGGACTCCCTCCTGTCTGTTGGTCTCCTGGGCCACGCAGGCCACGCACAGACCCCGGAGCCAGGCACCTCCGCCGTGGGGGAGGAGAGGCCCGCCGGGTGGCGTCCAGGTGGACCACCCAGGACGTGGGCGCAAGGCAAGGGGGCAGTTTTCACGGCTGCCGTGAACACACATCTCCTGCAACATGGTTTAAATCACCTTGACAGGAAAACCTCACACTTGGAATCTGGGCTGAAGATGCTTTGTTTTTCTTGCTAATCAATTCTCTTACTTTTGGCTGGTGGTTAGAAAGGTTTCGACGATTATTGCTAAACAGCTCTTTAGAAGCTCCTGGAAGACACCATGTAAATGCTCTACAGAAATGGAGCAAGTCGGATGAGGCATGATTACTAAGTCAGATTCTGGATGATGTGACTGCACATCCCCAGCACTTTCCCGAAAAGAGCGCTAGTCACGAACGTGGTTACGCACTTTGACATAGCTAGTGGAACGTCCCGCGGAAGTGCAAGCCCTGAAGAGTCATAATAACACCCAGGACCGTAGTCACACACACGCTCTGCCTGGACATCTCCAGGGAGTGCTGGGGAGGGCAGACGATGTCCATGTTGACCTAGCGACGTGCCCGGGGCAGCTCTTGGCTTGGGCCGAGTTCAGTACTTGAGGGAACCAGAGAGGAGACTGTCCGGTGCAGCAGACTGATAGAAGTTGGTCGCGTCGCATCTTTTTGGCAAGTAAAGAGGGTTCATTTGAGCTAACATGTATCCATTCGCTGATACTTGAAATGCACTTTGTTTTCCCTCTGGGTTCCCATGAAACACCGCCTGGACATTTAAGCGAGTCATGGTTTTGAGGCCAAGCAAACAAAACCGCCAAACAACGGTTTCCAGGTTTCATTTAGGAAGAAATTTTCCCTTGGTCATTTAAACAATGGATTCAGTTACTAGAAACCCGAGTGCACGTTTCAAGACCCCATGTGCTATCTGTTAACGCTGGCCTTCACCTTTTGGGCCTCTGCCCCAGGGCTGGCCACACGGATGCTTTTTCTTGGGCCAGACTGAGGTTTCTTAAGTGTGACTCAGGCTGGAGATTAGGTCCAGGCGGAGGAGATAATTGTTTCTAGTCTGGTTTCTTCTAACTTTTCTCCACTGTCACCTTTTATGACTTTTCCTTCAGCTGCTCCCTCGTGTTCCCCAAGCTTTACTCCCTGGCCCTTCTCATCTGTGATTCCTCCCTCCCCACCCCCCAGCTCCACTTCCCTGCACAGCTTCTTTGCAGAGGACTCCAGAATCCTAGCACCGATCTCCTTCCTGCTGTCCACCTGTCTGCCAGGGACCGTCACCCAGCACTTCCAAGGCAGCACTGCTGCGATCACTTTCACTCTCTGTTCTGCGGCTCCCACTTAAATCCCACCTGGTTCATGATGAGCTGTTCTTCAGTCGTTAAGCTTAGAAGTGGAGCCTCCTGTGCAGTCAGTGGTGAAGCCTTCGAACTCTCCCTCCACAGACTCTTGAGGCCACCTCTTCCTTCACATGTTCACGGCTTCTCAGCCTTTTACAATAGCCTCCCTCCTAATTGGTCCCCCAGCTTCCTGTGTTCCAAAAGTCTTTATTGCACCTGAATTGATTCCATTAACTTCACAACTCTGCTCATGCCGTTTCCTGCTTAAAAAACAAAAACAAAAAAAAACCAACAACTGGGTGGCTCCAGTTGGTTAAGCTTTGGACTCTTGATTTTGGCTCAGGTCAGGATCTTCCTATTTGTGGGATCAAGTCCCGCATCAGGCTCTGCCCTGAGCATGGAGTCTACTTGAGATTCTCTTTCCCTCAGTCTCTGTCTCTTCCTCACTTGCACTCACTCTCAAAAATAAACAAAAAAAAAAAACTTTCTAGACTTCCTTCTCTATCCTCATCCTGGAATAGAGGCTATTCTCGGGACGGGACCTATTTAGGGAACGTGTGACATTCTTCTCATGGGTACTGTTTCAGGCACAATGAATAGAAGTTTTCCTTTTCAACCTCTGGCTGGGCCTTTCCTGACCATCAATTTCTTGGAATACCCGAGCTCCCAGTCTCATCTCATCTGGTGTCTCCCCATTCTTCCCGGCTTCTCTTGAGTGCCACCTTGCTGAGAACTTGTCACACTTGGAGGCTTCGTTTGTGGCATATTCACATAGAGTTACTGGTATCTGAACTTGAGAGTCAACCGTGAGCTACTCGAGTCCCTGGGACTGGCCCTCAGGTTTAGTAGATGCCTGGTGTACTTTTTGACTGTGGGCAGATGCCCGCTCCTGCCCCACCCCCGACCGGCCCTGCGTCCCAGCCTTCCTGACCCACCCCAGCTTTGCTGTCCCTCCTCTTTTTAATCAGACCTAGGCAACAAATTTGGCGTGGAAAGAACTACCCTCCTCCCCCAAACCTCACTGATTTTAAATTTTGTTGGAGGCAAAAGCAAATTTCCAAGATTCAGTTCAACACCAATTTAGAATTATTTCTGCCAGTTGGAAGTGAAAACTTTGAAAATGACATTTTTTTTTTTTTTTACTTGGGAAAAATACGAACCCTATAGCCTTTCAAGGAAACAGGATACTTATACACACACACACACACACACACACACACACACACGCTTAGCTTTATGCAATTGAATCCTGTCAATCTAATCTTTTGTGACAGAGCAGCAGACCTGCTCGACCAAGGGGGTGGGGAACAATAGTTGGGACTTATCTCTGCAGGCTTCGAAACTTTTGATTCCTAGGTTTCACTCAATATGATTATCATTAAATGGGCTGAAAGATGGCAGGGGTGGGGGAGGGAGGGCACAAGCCAGTTATAGCTGAAGGAAAGAGGTGGCGCTTCCTGGGTGTCAGGCTCGAGCCCAGCGGTCCTGAACGTTGGCCTGAATGGGCCAGATGACAGAGAAGAGAACACAAGGTCAGCATGAATGTCGAGGAGGGCTGGGGGGCGGGGGGAATGTAGATTAATAATTGGGAGGAAAAGTAACTTTGGGGATTACTTATGTGATCAACACCAGTATGTAGGTCCGACTAGGGCGGGGTTCTCATTTACGGAAAAGGGCGGTCCTCCTCAAAGTAGCATTATATTAAGAATGTGACACTGGGGCGAAGAAATACAACAGGTAGCAATTTTATAGTCCTAGACTTGCATTAACCTCTATCCCCTTCTAAACTCCACAGCTAAAGACAGGAAAGAGAATTTGGACGGTATTGCTGGGAGAGCCACAGAACTAATTCATCTGGGCCTGCAGTAGGAATTGAAGATTCCCACAAAAAAGTTCAATGAATTAGGTTTATTCAACTTAGAGATGCGCAACCTTAGAAGGTCAGTACGAAACGAAAATTGAAATAGGTTTAAATTATAACACATGAGAATAAAATTAAATGTAAGTACGACTTTCCTTAGTCTGGAGACCAATAAACGGGCTGTGAAAGCAGCATGGTTTGAGAGTGCTCTGGGCTAACTGGGCGGCAGACCTGGACAACCTCTGAGAATATCCGTCTCTACCCCACAGTGTTATGAAGCACGACCTCCAATCCAAATGCCTCAAATGTTATAAAGGCCTCAGCCTTAGATATCATTTTTTTTTTTTAGAGGAATTCCAATATAAATGAAGCTGTTTCTGAAGACCAGCACTAGGAATGCGCACAGTGAGGACTTTCCTGTGATCATAGAGCTGATTTGATCCACAGAGCAAACTTACAGGAAATGGGACACGGTCTTCCCGCTTTCAGTGCAAACAAGCCGCTGATGAAGTGTCTCATCTAAGGAGATGGTAACAATAGAAACTTGAGTGCATGGCACCCTGAGCTGTCCAAGAACAGCCATTAACATTACCCCATTCAAACATCTCTTCTTTCAAGTGTGATCTGGCACGGAAAAAAAGGGACGCAATGATTTTCTCTACAATATTCCTGATAACTGATAATCACAGTCCATTGCACATGTAGGTTAATTCTTTAAATTTAATCAGTCCTTTATAAAACGTCCCAATTAATTAGTAAAAGATGGCTTATTTTAATAGCCTTAAACATTGGTCGCTATTTAAACAAGACATTCTAAAAAAAAAAAAGGCAATCACATAATAGTTTATAGTAATTTACAAGTGGATGGTATACATTTAGATACAGAGGTAGAAGTCCACTTTAACAACATTTCACTAATACACATTTACCAAATTCAAGGCACAAATAGTTTGCTTTACAAAAAAATACTGTAAAAATGTCAATTGCTGTTCTACAATGTGAATAAAACTTTCAGAAGAATCTTTACACCCTTCCATACGTACTCCGTAGAATATGGTTTTTCCCCCTCGGTAACCCTAGTTGGCACAAAAATGGGGACTTTTTTTAATGTGGAAGTTCCCTATCTTAGAAACTGTTCCTTTGCGGAGCTGCTATGTATTCTAGCTACAAGTCCACTCAGAGAAATGAAACACAGCAACTTCCTGAGGAAAGGGCACTTTCTGTATGCAGCAAAATTCACAGGTAGAAAATGTCTGACCTTTGTGGATAACTAGGTCTGCAGAGTAACAGATCCTAAAGATTTCAGAGACAAAATAAAAAATTTGGCTAGCACTTTAGTCCTTATAACTTTAAGAGACCTGATTACCTTTACTGTAATAAACATCATTTACTTCAAATTGGTGGAGATTTCAAAATTCCTTTTCAAAAGAGCTGTACACACAAACACCATGAAAAGCCACGCAGGCTCTGCAAAACTGAAACTTAGAAAACATGTGAAAATAGAGCACTATCAGTCCTTGAAGTTGCAAGGGCGTCAATTGGCTAGAGTTTAATTACAAGAATTAACAAACTCTATGGATTAAAAAGAAAAAAACCCACACAGCTGAAACACACTGTTATCATCTCTAGACTTTCTGCTCATTAAAAAAAATAATGGTAGCCTGGAGATGTCACACAGCGCTTGTCTAAAAGATTTGACAGGGTTTGGGTTTTGGCCTAAAAGGAGCCTGTTGGCAACAACGTAAAGCTCACTTTTGCTGATCACGTTTTCCAAGTATTCTAGTCGGTTAATTTACACTTTATTATTTTTTTTAAAAAGGTGATTTAAAAAAAGTCAACATGGATTTGGAATCCAGAGAATGTCAGTAATGCTGATGCAGATCCAGATCGGACTGAAACACCTCGATCGTCTTCTGATAGAAATGATATTCCGTACAAAAAAGATGGATTCTCAGATTCCATTTTTCGCTTCATTATTGTTTGTGGCTTGTTTTCTTTGAGCAATAAAGGGGTACATACACTTGTCTGCTCCTAGGAACCGATACATGCACACGACTGCTTCAAAAGGGAGGATGCTGAAAAGGGAAAGGTGGCCGTTAGGAAACGGGTGACGTCCCGTGTTGAGCTACAGGGGTGGGGCGGGCGTGGAGCAGACCCAGCACACCAGGGAGCCCCTCCCGAGTTACCTCTTCATAAACGTCACGATGTACATGAGGCGGGGGGTGCAGATCATGGGCTGATCGGTGAGGATGGCCTTCATGGCCTGCTTCACGCAGTAATCAGGCTTCAGAGGGGGCAGAAAAGGCTCAATTTCTTTCCTGGAAGTTACACATTAGAAAAACGAAATTAAGAATTAACACAAAGTAGTGAAGACTGGAAACACACATCCAAACATTAATAGTGAGGTTATCTAACGTGGGTTCATTTTGTTTTCTTCATCGTGCTCTTCTGTATTCCCCAAAATTTCCTACTATGAATACATTTTACTTGCATAGTCTGGAAAACAAGTTTTAAAAAAAAGCAAAATTGGTCTACTTTCCTGTAAAATGAGAAAATTGTGTTTTTAAAATGCCTTAAAATGTATTTCACATTTTTTCAATAGAAAAAGAAGAGGGTGTTTGGTATAAAAACATTAAACTCAAACATTATGCTATACTTTATTTCTAATATATTTCTTTAAACATTTTCGAAAGAGTACGTGCAAGTGGGGGAGGGGCAGAGACAGAGGGAGACAGAATTGGAATCCAAAGCAGGCTCCAGGCTGTCAGCACAGAGCCTAATGTGGGGCTTGAATTCACGAACTGTGAGATTATGACCTGAGCCAAAGTTGGACGCTTAACTGACTGAGCCACCAACACCCCAACAACGCCAAACTTTTAGTGCTAAGTATTATTGAAATGATGGCGTCTACACTGGCATAACCTTCCTGAGTGAAGAAAGTCAGCTGTACACATTCTTTAGGCATTTTCTTGGTGTGTGTGTCGGGGGGGGGGTTGTCTCTGAAACAAAGTGCATATAGACATCCTACCTTCAGCTGCATCCATTACATTACACACTGAAATAACCTAATAATATAATGTACTCCTTTCCCCCCTTTTCATGGTCTCACCCCAGTTTTGGACACCTGCCATGATGCTAAATAGAAAACGGGGCTCCTTACACTCTTGGCATTTGGCTTCTAAGTATACAAGACGAAGAAACACACACACACGGGGATAGAGGCAGAGCTTGAGGCTGGTCCCAGTCCAGACTAGGAGTCAGCCTGAGACTGGAATGACTCAAATCAAGCTCTACCAGCTTCCCAGCTCGGCCAGGCCTGGGATGTGTTAAGATCAGCCCTCACCAACAGGGAGCTGGTTCAGTTATCTTCCTTTGCCTTTCGAATTCTTCCCAGCAAAGAGCTCAGAGTAAGCAGGTCTTCACAAGTATCTTATTAATGATTCGTGGGCTTGCTTACCGGCTTAGTTCAAGTCTGACGTGGCCTGACATTTATATTCCCATATGCCCCCCTTCAAAGGGGGTGGGGGTTTTACTTAGTTTTTAGTAAATCTAAATAGATTTTCTCATTCTGTTATAATGAACTTACCTATATATACTCTCCACCAAAAGGAAGCTCCCAAATCTGGAGAGCAATTTTCAAAGGTCTTTTTAGAAGAAAGGCTTACTCTTTTGTGACAGTGACATTGTTTCATATCTGAATCAAAGTCACATTCATTTACCAATACTAATACTAAAACAAAATAACTGCTAAGGACTTAGCTTCTAAGGAAAATCCTGGCTATTTGTTTCCTTCTTGAAGGGGCAGTGAGACCAATTCCTTTCTGATGCTTCTAGATTAACTTCCTCCCGTTAGTATCTGCGTGGCACCGGACCCTCAGCTGTTAATCTTTTTCACTCAAACTTTACAAACCTTGACCAATGAAATGACAGGTTTAATTGTCAAATGATAGTTATAGTGCAAGATCCAATTCAACAAATCCTCCCAATATGGAAAGATGATTTCTAAAACAGCTTTTTTATCAGTAATAAGATAGGTTCTCACTGACCTGATACGGCAGCCTCTGAACATGCCCGTGTCTACAAGGTAAGGGCAAACCAGCGTTGTTTTAATTCCATCCTTCTCAGCGGCCTTTAACTCATGGCTCAGGGATTCATGAAAACCCACCACTCCAAATTTACTGGCACAATAATCCTGAGTTCAAGGGGGGGAGAACAGAAACACTAAGTATGTGCACAGATCCCCCACCCACTGACCAAACTCAAGCTTCCCTGATCCTATTACTTTGGTTACATGTTTGATACAGAAGGTTACAGGTGACTAAGCAAAGAAAAGGAAAGCATTTTAAAAGAAAGCTATCTGATGTGGTTTGGTGCAGAAATAATATTTTCAAAGCAACAGCAGAAACAGATGAACACTTTTTGCCACATCGACCAAGTATCATATTACTTTGAAGAAATGACCACAAAGGATTCTATAAAGGCTAACAAGCTGAGGCTAAAAATGGAGAGAGGTTCACTTTGAAGTGTCTGGAAAATTTACAGATGGCCTCTTGTTCAGTAAAGGAGAATAAAAATCCAGTGTGTTTAATTAATGCTACGAGAGCAAAGGTGAGTCTAGCTTAGGTTATTAAGTTGTTGTGGTCCACTTTTCTTTTTAGTGTAAAGTGAAGAAAATGATAACTATACCTTGCAAACGTAAGCCAGACCTTAACCTAAGAACACACGGTATATGACAATAAACTATTTGTGTTAAAAAAAAAAAAAAAACACACACGGTATAGAAAGTTCTCCTTCATGCCACTTGAAACGTAGGGGTGGAAATGTAGAACATGGAAGACCATCTATTATTCTGTGTCCTGCTGCGTATTTGCATGGGGTTTTTAATTTTATGCTATAGGCAGCCATAGGACAGACTGAGACACACTCATGCGCTTTATAATTTGAATGTGGTGAAGAACGGGGCTTGAGTCAGCCCAGATCTACAGATCTAACACTGCAAGACACCTCACATCTGCCGCAGCCATCTCCCCTGAGGAGCTGATAACAGGATGGCTCACTTTTGGCAAGTTGACCAAAACAGAATGTCAACCTTTGGCCTCATTCATCTGATTCCCGCGCCAGCGCCCTGCACGTTTTCATTCTCGACCCTGCGCCTCCCTGCCGTCATCAGGCAGAACTGCTAATGGAAATGGGGCACGTTGAGGACCGGTGCACCTACTTTTCCTGCTGCTGCTTTGTCAGACTAGAAGTGATTTTATGGCAGAGGATACTAGAGTTAGGCCTCAACAGCTGGCCCTGGTTACTGTAGAACATTCCATACACCGCACACAGGTAGAGTACTTCCATAAATGTATAGGCAGCAGGTACTCTTCACAGGAGTTTGGTACATTCGTCATGAGACAAACCAACTGAATGAAGGAAATGCTTTAGATATGACA